AAGTGTGTATTTAATAAATAATAATTTTAATAAATAATGTGTATATAATGTTAAGAGCACATTTTGCAATGTTTGTATTTAATAAATAGTGTGACAAGGAACAAGAAAAAATAAAGTCTTTTACTTTTGTCAATTCATGTATCCAGTGATCCGTTTATTTTTTTTTGAGGAATAAGATTCGTTTACAAATTTTTTTTGTAAATTACACTAAGAACGATCGGTCGTACATTGCATGATTAAAGTATGATCGGTCATACTTAGTGTAGTTTGTAAAAAAAAAAAATTTATAAATATAACCTGTTCCATTTTTTTAAACCGAAAAATAAATTTATTTTATCAAATGTTATTTCTAACCCATTATGTTTTCCATACTAAAATAAAGAAAAAAAAAGTTTCTGAGAAATTTACACACTGAGACCTGAGTTGTCAAATATTTATTTATTATTAATTTTTATTATTAATTATATTTTATGGACTATAAACATTTAAAGAGATTTGACAATAATTAAACGTTTGACAACATGGGTATGGGTACCCATGAAAATAACATGACACTGTAGCAAGTCAGAACTTGTTGTCATTGATAACAGTTATAGCCGTCCACTTTTATAGCAGTAGGGTAGTTGTGAGGGATAAGGTTTCATTATTAGAACTGAGGATTCGCAGCTACGCTTATTAAAAAATAGAAAAATATAACACATAATTGCATATATTATAATTATTTTTTAATTTTAAAGTCAAGTGAATTGACTAATTTTAAATTGGAACGGTGATCAAAATGTCACTGTTTATCAAAAATTTTTAACTAAATATTACGCGAATAATGTTATTTTCCAATATGTCACGTGGGCAAGTTCGCTGGGCACTATAGCGAACTCAGCTTGCTGACGTGTCACTTTTCTGGTGAACACCAAGTTCGCTACCTGGGTTAGCGAACTTGGTTGCAATATTGGTCAGTGTGATTGTTGTGGTTGCGATATTGCAACCACAATAATATTAAGAAATAACATTGTTCGCGTGACATTTGGATAAAAAATTTGATGAATAGTGACATTTTAGTTACCATTCCTTTCAAATTTTAGTAAGAGGAAATGTTTTTACATGTGTCTCAGAGCCCGCCAATTCTGAGCCTGACCTCTATGTCAAATTAGCCCGACTTTTTTCATGTCGGCTTCCTGAAGCGTCCGTGAATAGTAAATTGAAAAGTCAAACAAGAGAAAAGGGAGGAACAGAGAATGTCAAAAATTTTAAAATCAAAAACCTATGTGATGTGAAGAGTAAAAACCACGAGAACAACTCCAAAAAACTTTCACTATGAATAATGTGATTTATAAAAGGTTCTCTCTGGCTCACTAACCAGAGGACTTCACCCTCTAAATGATGAATCTACTCACAAGTGTTTATCTCTGTAAAGGGGATATGAATCCTACTCTACAGGCTATTTTTCTTCTTCAACAATTAATGGCGTTGGGTTTCTTCCATAAAGATCTTCGTCTCTGGCTTGTGTAGGTCGACACATGCTTGAACAAGCACTTGTCAATATACTTGGGATCATAGCGACTGCCTTCGGATTGAGGAGATCTCACTCTTTATCGCTCTTCCCTTCTGCCTTGTTCGCGCTTAGAATGGGTTCATATATATCCTTGCAATAAAAAAGATCCTGCATCATGCGTTTCCAGTATGAATAATTCTCTGCGGTAAGTTTGAACATATCACCATTATGCACTACGACACCCTTCATGTCTGACCTCACAGAGCTCTTGATCTAAGAGCTATGATACCATAGTTTTGCCTCAGAGCCTGGCAGTTATGAGTCCGACCTTTATGTCTAATTAGCTCGACCTTCTTCAGGTCGACTTGCGAAAGCATTAGTGAACAATAAATTGAAAAGTCAAACAAGAGATAAGGGAGGAATAGAAAACACCAAGAATTTTGACGTGGAAAACCTCTTTGATGCGAAGAGTAAAAATCACGGGACCAAGCCCATAAAACTTTCATTATGAATAATGAGATTTACAAAAAGTTCTCATTGGCTCACTAACTAGAGGATTTCACCCTCTAAAGGATAGATCTACTCACAAGTGTCTCACACAAGTGTTTCTCTCTGTAAGGGGGATAGAAATCCTACTCTACATGCTATTCTTTTTCTTCAGCAAAGGCACTGAGTTTCTTCCTCAAAGAATCTTCGTCTCTGGCTTGTGTTTTTTCTGTGCGTTTCCATTTCTTCGCATTTTCTTCTTTTTCTCTCTCTTCGTACGAACTGACGACTTTGCATCTAAACATCTCTCATAAAAAATAGATTAAGGCATCCATTAATTTTGGCTAGGTCCATCATAAGCCACAGACTCAACACTAATGTCACAACAGATTTTATATTTCGTAATCTCAAAATGATATTATTTTGGATTTTGAGGAAAAAAATAAAATATATTTTGAAAATTTTACTTTTTTATAATAAATTTTTACAAAGAAATTGTATTTTTTTAAACCCAAACAATAAACCCTTTTAGTATAAGATATTTATTACATAATGAGAAAAGTTATATTTACAATTTTTTTTTGTTGACAAACTCTCACAACTAAATTTTAACCGTTGATTTTTGTCAATCTGATGTTTATAATTTATTGGATCACACTTATTAATTAATTATTAATTTTCAATAAATTAAACTGTTAGATTAACGAAAATCAACAATTAAGATTTAGTTGTAAAAGTTTGTAAATGAAAAAAAATTTAAATATAACATTTCCCTTACATAATACTCAAAATTTAATTTGCTAGAGGTTGGGAATGTAAGAGTGATAAGTGTTCAAGACACTATGTTTTTATGGATAAAAAGAGTTCAAATAATTATTAAAATAGTTAAAAATATAGTGTTAAAACAATAAAACAGTAAAACAGAATGAATTGCCAACAAATAAACAAATTCTAAATATTTGTTGTTGTTTCAGGTTGTTAAGATTGGAATACTGGAATAACAAAGTAACAAAATGAGGCAACGAATACGCGGAGCAACGGGGAAATCAGAGATTAAGTAATAAATAAAATAAAATTGGTAACGCTCGCTCCACTGCTCGCTAAAGCGAGCAAGTGGGCGAGCAGCTCGCAAAGTTCTTAGCTAAAGCGAGCGAATGGGCGAGTATCTCGAAAAAGTCCTCGCACCAGCGAGTAAGGGAGCGACCAGTAACAAGTGCTCGCTGAGTTTCTCGCTTCAGCGAGCTCCTCAGCGAGCGGATTCAGGAAATTATAGCCAATGTTTTCCCTTTAAATACAACGCGAAGGAAGCCGTAAAAATTCATTCTGGAACGCGGAGAAAGAAGGCACTTGAGACGAAGCGAAGGAAGGAGCGAAGCGAAGGAAGGAGCATAAGCGTAGCACTGGATCGTGGCAGAGGAGAAGGAAGGAGTCAACTCTGCACCATTGATCATCACTTTTAGACAAGTTTACCATGAACTCAGTTTCTTTTACAGTAGATTTTAATTCTGTCTTTATGAGTATGTTAGGCTAAATTACTTTTAGTAGTTAGGAAGATACAGAACCAATGGATTCTTAGTTGATGTTTGTTTATTCTTATGAATTACATTCTTGTTTCTGAATTATGCAATCAATCGGATATATATGATTAGTTTTATTTATGACTTGATCACTCATAGATAAACATACGAGTCACATATGACAATAGGGATGTTGATATGTGATTCCGATTGGTTGATTGCTGGAATTTGCATGATCTAGGGATAGACTTGTGAATTTTATAACTTGAGTTCTTGCGTTAATGCTTATTCTATGAGAAAGTACTAAGGGATTAGGCTTTGGATTAGAGTAAAGGATTGGATTACCAAGGGATTGGGATCAATCATAGAAAGAATTGTTAATAATTCAATCTTGCATGTAATCGTGAGAATAGACAAACACGTTAAGAAACCATTGGGGAAGTTGAATCCTAACTACGCCTTTTTATTGAAAACTTAAATCAATTTCTTTTAGCTTTAATTAATTCTGAATTAAATTTCTAAAATATTAAAAACCAAAAATAAGTTTATAAATTCTGTTTTTACTTTAATCACAATATTCTCAAGAAAACCTTTAATGATCGATCCAACTTTAATTAAATAAATAGATTATTGCTTGGTCATCAGTCCTCGTGGGATCGACAACTCTACTTTATCACTTTATTACTTGTACGACCGGTGCACTTGCCGAGTTCGTCAACAAAGAGAATAAATGTATACAACAAACATGGTCCCTATTTTCTACACTTTTTTATTAAGTTGGAATTTGTTACATAAGTTGGGTTATTCAAATGTGATGAGTCACAAATTGGTTGGTAATCGGCTAAGTAAATTGGATATAAGTGGGGATCTATGAACCCAATGCCTTAAGATTTTGGGTTGAGACATAGTGTCAGATCCACTTGCCACGATTGATGTAACCTTAGCTCATTGATGGTTGTCCAACGCTACGGGCTCCCCCGGGATCCGCCTGACAGTGGTATCAGAGTCAGGTTGGGCTCGGCTAGCCAGGTATTTAGCTAGGAGGCGGGTTGAGTACTTTAAGCCTGAGTACTCAGTTGAGGGGGAGCATATCAATGATGAGCTTCACAATTGAGGGGGAGATTGTTGTAATATTCAAGTGTGATAAGTCTTATATTGGTTGGTAATAGACTAAGTGAAGTAGATATAAATAAATAAATCCATGTACCCAAGACTTTGAGTTGTAACATGATATCGAATTCACTTAATGTGGTTGACCTAACGTGGCCCATTAATAATGATGGTTGGACTGCTGGCCGAGGGTTTACTATATTTTTCTTTAATATTGATATATATTATGCACATTAATTCTATAGTTGTGTAAGCCCATAACATTACACATAAATGAGTGAGTAGGACGTACGAGAGCAGAGATTTTAAAGATGTGACTTGACAGTTCAGTTCCATGATCTTATATATGTAGACATACAGAACACATATTATTCAAACACAACTGAAAATTGAACATGAGTACCCTTCTTTACCCACGTATTCAACCTATTGTTTTGGAAGATAACGGAGAAGTTTCATTTAGAGGTGATGCCATCAAGTCAACCGAAAGTAGTGGAAGTATTCAGGGAGAGAAGGAAGGCATAACAGTAACATGGGAAGATTTGTGGGTCACTGTTTCAAATGGAAAGAAAAGGAAACCAATTCTTCAGGGTCTTACTGGTCAAGCCCAACCCGGAAGGCTTCTAGCTATAATGGGCCCTTCAGGTTGTGGAAAATCCACATTTCTTGATGCTTTAGCAGGTGAATAGTAACCGATTCTACTCCAATTTATATATTTTAATTGCGGTAATTCAATTTGCATATGCTTGAGTCTCGTAGTATGTCACCAACTCATTCTTATGCTGTGTGACAACCTTTTTTTTTATTGTAACCATTGCTTTTAAAAGGGAAGTTGAAGTATTTTAGACAAGCGTACGTGTGAAGTTAAATAAGGAATTTTACAGATGTTTGGTGATATGAAATTACACTAGCGATTTGTAGTTTATAAGTTGGACGCTAAGGAAAGTGTTTGAAGCATATGTTTCTTGTTTTCTGGGTCAGTATCTATTACCTCTTCTTGATGCTAAAATAGTACAGTATAATTAGGAGAGGTAAATTTCTTTAAAATGATATGATTTCTATATTATATAAATATAATGACTATCACGTGATTCAAACAATGTGGCAGGAAGATTGAGCTCAAACTTAAAACGTACAGGGAATATTCTAATCAATGGCCACAAACAAGCACTGGCTTATGGAACATCAGTAAGTGAAAATTCCCAAAAAAGCAGCAATTTTTTGGTAGACAAAAGTAATTGTTTTAGATTTATTAACAATTAGGCAACCATCATGTGACATCAGGGTTATGTAACACAAGATGATGCTATGCTGTCAAATTTAACGGCTGGGGAAACTTTGTACTACTCAGCTCAGCTCCAATTTCCAGATTCCATGTCCATAGCAGAGAAGAAGGAACGAGCAGAAATGACACTGAGAGAAATGGGTCTGCAAGATGCCATTAACACAAAGGTTGGAGGGTGGGGTGCTAAAGGCCTCAGTGGAGGACAAAAGAGGAGACTTAGCATTTGCATTGAGATCCTAACACGCCCGAGACTTCTATTCCTTGATGAACCAACAAGTGGACTTGATAGTGCAGCTTCATATTATGTTATGAGAAGAATTGCAAGTCTAAATCTAAGGGATGGAATTCTAAGGACTATTGTTACATCCATCCATCAGCCTAGTAGTGAAGTTTTTGAACTTTTCCATGACCTCTGTCTTCTGTCTTCTGGTGAAACTGTATATTTTGGTCCAGCCTCAGATGCAAATCAGGTTAGGAACTAAAATCGTTATAAAGAAGCAAATATTGATTTGAAGTTTACAAAATACACATTGACACTTTGATTTGGTGCAGTTTTTTGCTTTAAATGGTTTTCCTTGCCCAACACACCACAATCCTTCTGATCATTACTTGAGGATCATAAACAAAGATTTCGAACAGGTATGCATACTCTCTCCTATTTTGGCTAGTTTTATTTGAGGGCCTGTTTTCTAATTAAGAAAATTGCAATCTTATTGTCTCCAGGACGCTGAAGAAGGCTTTGGCAAGGGAGCAACTACAGAAGAAGCAATCAGTATACTTGTAAAATCTTATGGATCATCTCAAATTAGAAACAAAGTTAAAATGGAAGTGGTAAAAATCAGTGAAAGTGTAAGTTTTCACGTTACGGTCCTTACTCCCACTAATACTCCAAAATCACAGAGGAATTTCCAAAACCCAAAGATTTATGATGTACATGAAAGACTAACTTTTTGCATGAAAATAGGATTCTGGTGCAATAGGGAAGAAGGGGATACACGCTGCATTCCTCACTCAATGCCTTGTTCTTATAAGAAGATCTTCCCTTCAATTGTTTCGCGACATAAGCAATTACTGGTTACGTTTATCTGTCTTTATTGTAATAGCTATAAGCATTGGCTCTATCTTCTATCACATTGGCTCAAGTAATGAATCTATTCAGGTAAGATATATAAAGCATAAAGATTAGCTTCAATGAACAAAGTTGATGAATAATACAATATCATCATGCATGTTTCAGGGGAGAGGTTCGCTGCTCACTTTTTTTATTTCAGTTCTGAGTTTCATGAACCTTATTGGTGGATTCTCTCCACTTCTGGAGGAAATGAAGGTAAAATTTCAATCGTTTTTGTGTTATATTTTAAGATAACGTTTCACTGCATTGTAGTGGGCCAGAGTGTTAGTGAACCCAAAAAAAGGGAATGTCATAATGAATCTAAACAGTGTACTTAAACGCTCCATCTTAACTAAACTGTAAATGCACTTAGGTTATTTCACTTACATTTTCTTTATGTAGTTGATTTTTAATCAATATGAAACTTAATTACTTTTATTATTAATAATTGAATTTTCAACAATCTCTGCTGCAAGTATGAGACCCAACATCAATAATATGCTAGTTTTGAATAATATTCTTGATTTCACTTTATGTGCTTAATCGTTATTTGGCCTAACTCCTAAAATTATCTTTTGGAGTTGTTTAACCCAAAATCTATAATAATTACTCCAGATTACTCCATAAGAATTCTAGAGATTAGTTGCACATATCATAATTAATATTTAGATTAAGATATTGTGAAAAATTCTAGAGAAACACTTGTACCCTTTTAGATCATGAATATATTGGCATAATCCTAGCCAATTGTTAGGGAGGTGACACAGGTATAATCAGGTGTGTTATCCATCATCTTGTATAAAACACAAAAGAAGATCATTGAGTACAACTAAAACTAGTTTATTCCATCAAAGTCTTTTAAGTTTTCTTCTTTCTTAAATATCCTCCTCCTAATTTCCAGGTTTTGTTTGGGAGTTTGGATGGGGAAGGAAGAAAGGGAATCTAAGAGGAAGGGAAATGAAAGACATTTCTTTTCTTTATTTGGGAGTTAAAAAATGATAAGGGGAGAAAAATGGAGGATTAATGATATATTTTTACCATTTTACCCTTTCTTTAAAATTAATATAATTATTATACTTTATAAATTAAATTAAATTTTTCTAAAAAAATTTATTTATGTAATTTCTATATTCTCCCTCTAAAAATTATTCACTAATTTTGATGAATAATTTTTATATTTATACTTATTATTCACTAAATAAGTTAGAAAATCTCGTCAATAAAAAAAAGGAAAAACTAATAGTTTCAATCCATTCATCATCTACTATTTATTTTGAGAAAAACAATACAATCCCCCACACAGAAAATAAATACTATAATGATTTTTGTGTTATTTTATCATTTAATTATCAAAATAACTATCAACATAAAGTTTTAACATGCATGTTAAAACTTTATAATATTACTTCAAATGATAAAAAAAATTTATAAGATGTCACCCTAAACATTTTATAATACAAAATTTTTATCAAACTTTATATAATCGAGTCAGATTTCCATAAAATGGTCAAAGCAGACTGCACAAAATAACTAGTGCCCCGAATTTGAAACCTGCTCCCAAGTTGCCACCAGCCTCATCCGGTGAAATCTCCAGCGCTGAACTCACCGGCGCCATACCTTGTGATGGAAGTGTGTTGGTGAGTGAGGAGGAGAGAGGAAGAGAGATAGGATTTTGATTTTAATTTTAAGGATAGATAAATAATTTCCAATATTCCCTCTCTTATAAATGACTCATTACACTACTTTATTCAGCAACTATTTAACTTCTAACATACACAAATTAGATAGATTAAAAGTACATATTCATTTTATGAACATAACTTTGCACATTATACTCAGCTTAAAACATTTTAACATACAGGTAATCTTATCAGTAACATAGTTTATGGTTATTTCACTTACATTTTCTTTATGTAGTTCATTTTTAATCAATATGAAACTTAATTACTTATTACTCATAGTTGAATTTTTGTTTCTTCGTGTCAGGTATTTGAACGAGAGAGATTGAATGGGCACTATGGCATTACAGCTTTTCTCATAGGCAACATACTCTCTGTTGTTCCTTACATGCTAATGATTTCTCTAATTCCTGGAGGAATAGCTTACTACCTTTGTGGGTTGCACAAAGGACTAGAAAACTTTATGTACTTCACTTCTTTGCTATTCGCCATCATGATGTGGGTTGAGAGCCTTATGTTGGTTGTTGGTAGTGTCTCTCCCAATTATGTAATAGGCATGTTCATTGCTGGTGGAATTGCAGGACTCATGATCTTAACAGGTGGATTCTATCGACTGCCAAACGATATTCCAAAACCATTATGGAAATACCCTTTATACTATGTTTCTTTCCTCAAGTATGCCTTTCAAGGATCATTCAAGAATGAATTTGAAGGTTTAACATTTTCTATAGAACAAGATGGAGGCACCAAAACCATCAGTGGTAGACAAGTACTCATTGAGTCATGGCACGTCGAAATGGGTCACTCTAAGTGGGTTGATCTTGCCATCATGTTTGCAATGATTGTTCTGTATCGAGTTCTGTTCTTGGCCATCACTAAGAGCAAGGAGAAGCTGAAGCCATCAGTGGTCCCCAAGCACAAATTTTCTCTTGAATTACCAGAAAGAGTGATCATTACATAGTGTTGTAAACACCGAAATTTGCTCAGGACAAATTTCTCAGTCGTGCAAAAATTTTACCTCGCTATGTAAGAAATTACAAATGTTTTTCGCAGTACTATTTTTCTTTTAAATTAATATTTTTAGTGTCTAAAGATTAGTATAATAAGTAGTTATATTTTTTAAAAAATTGAAGTAAAATGACATAAAGTTATTAGTAAATATCCTTTTTGGTCCTCAGCAAATTTCATAATGCCCTCTTTAGTCCCTAGAAAAAAAAGGCTCATCGTGATCCCTAAAAAATTCAAAATAGACCCATTTAGTTGAAATCGAGGTCCCTCACAAATTCAAAAAAGACCCATATTAGTCCCCAAAAGGACTAAAATGGGTCCATTTTGAATTTTTTAGGGACCACGATGGACATTTTTATTTGCTAGAGACTAAAGCGGACTTCGTGAAATTTGCTGAGCACTAAAAAGGGTATTTACTCTAAATTTATTATTGGAGCTCAAGATAACCATGAAGAAAATGAGAGAAAAATACCTCATTCTATTACTAAGAAATGGTTATTACAAGTTATGAGCAGATAACAAAGGAAACTAAATATATATACATGTATCCAAAGCTTAGTGATCAAACCTGATATAACAGAAAGCCTATCACAATAACCAACTTATCTAACAAATTAACTGCAATAACTTTCTTCTGTTAATCTGTTGTGATCGGTTGGTTGAATGAAGCTTTTGTCTAACGTGGCTGAGATTGAATACAACTGAGGCTTATTGTTGTCTTCTGAGATATGGATTGGGCCAGACTCAATATTTGAACTTGAGACTGGGCGTGGAATTGGATCAAGCTGTGATACCCGCCCACAAGTAGGACTATGTAGATTAACTAGGCCCAACTTGGCAAGAGTAAGTTTAAAAGCAGTTTAGGGAAGTGGTTTCGTGAATGTATCAGCTAGTTGGGAGGAGGATTTGACTGGGAGCATATGTAACAAACCATATGTGATCTTTTTACAAGTAACATGCAATCGATCTCGATATGCTTAGAATGTTCGTGAAAAGCAGGGTTGTGAGCCAAGTAAATGGCTGATTTATTATCACAGAAGACAGAGGCAGGCTTGGACCAAGGGAGAAAAATATCACTAAATAGATGCTGAAGCCATTGGAGCTCGCATGTAAGAGTGGCAATAGCTCTGTATTCAACTTCTAAAGAAGATCAAGAGACAGTGGACTATTTCTTTGATTTCCATGCAACAAGTGATGAACCAATAAACACACAAAATCCAGTGATGGAGCGGCGTGTATCTGGGCAACATTCCCAATCAGAACTAGTGAACGCGCGCACATGGAGGCCAGAGTGAGAAGAAAAGAATAACCCTGAAGCTGGTGAACCCTTGATGTAGCATAAAACACGAACTGCACTTGATGGTGAAGATCAAGGGGACATGAAAGAAATTGACTAAGCTGCTGTACTGCGAAGCTCAAGTCGGGTCATGTGGTGGTCAAATACAAAAGACGACCAACCAAACGATGATACATAGAGACATCTTAAAGTAGAGTACCATTGGTACAACTCAAAAGAAAAAAAGCTTCCATTGGACTATTACAAAATTTAGCAACTAGCATGCCCATGTTAGCACGTATTTCAAGTGCATACTTGCGTTGGTTCACATGTATGCCACATGATGATCGAGACACTTTATGTCCCAAAAAATAACAAGAGGACCAAGGTCCTTGATGCGAAATTTGTCATGAAGGAAAGCCTTGACCCTACCAATTTCAGATGAAGAAATTCCAGAGAGAACAATGTCATGAACATATATCAAAAGGACTGTGAAAGACGATCCTTGCTGACGAGTAAACAATGAGTGATATGCTTAGCCTTAAACATAACCAAGGGAAACTAGTGCAGATGAGAGTTTACTTTACCATTGTCTACCTGCTTGTTTTAGGTCATATAATGACTTGTTCAAATGGCAAGCCTGATTGGGCTTTGACACTTCCAGACAATGAGGAATGGTCATATAAACCTCTTCAGATAGTTCACCATGAAGAAAAGCATTGTCCACATCTAATTGCTCAAGCAGCCAGCCTTTAGCAGCTGCAACAACTAGAAGCACACGTATCAAAAAAATCATCTTAGCAACTAGACTGAAAATATCAAAAAAATCAACACCTTCCATATGTGTAAAGCCCTTAACTACAAGACGAGCTTTGTGACTTTCAACTTCACCATTGGATCGATATTTGACTTTATACACCCATTTGCATCCAATGAGTGTCTTGCCAGAGGGAAGATCCACAATGGTCCAAGTATTATTCTTTGCTAGTGCAAGAAGTTCATTATTCATAGCATGTCTCCATTGCTGTAATTTGACAGCTTGGGAAAAAGTACATGGTTCGGTGTGTGTAGTGACGTTAAGGCATACAATTTTGATAGGAGAAGAACGAAGGCGTGTTGATCTTTTGAGATTAGGTGGAGGTTCATTGGGGACAGTGGTTGTCTCAGAGGATGATGGTGTAGGGTTACTATTTGATGAGGATTGTTGGTTGTAGGTAGGGTTGGCAAAAACGAGCCAACCTACCCGTCAAAAATGAGTCGGGTGGGGTTGGCAAAAATGATCTGCCAACCCAACCCAAGCCAGCTCGAATAAAAGCGAGCCAACCCGCAGGTCAAACGAGCCAGCTCGCGGGTTGAGTTTTTTTTTTTTAGAAAATACAAAATACAATATATAAAAACGGACAAGACCCACACGTGCTATCACCGTCTTTCTTCCTTCTTTAAACCTAAGTCCCTAATCTTCTCACACCCCTGCCATTTTTATATTGTTAGGCAGTGCTGGCTCTGTTTGATTCAAATATCTTACCACTTGGTAGCAAGTGATTCTGATTGTTTCTTGATGTTGGTGCAAATTTGTTGTGAAGAAAATTCGAAACTAGAATATTTTACTTTTATTTCTCATTTTGTAACCCTTTGTTTAAGTTGATGGAAGTCACATAGCTGGTGCATTAATACTACGAGTTCATTTAAATATGCTGAAAATGAGCCAACCCACGAGCCAATTTTAGAGCCAACTCGCGAGCTATTGTTTCAAGCCAACCCACGAGCCATATTTTTTAGGCAACTAACGAGCCAACCCTAACCCGACTCGGGTCGGGTTGGGTTAGGTTTTCTGGCTCATTTTTTTTTTTTAGCCAACCCTAACTCGGCTCGTTTTTTTGGGGTTGGGCCGGGTTGGCCCGTTTTGCCAACCCTAGTTGCAGGGTTGTTGGTGGAGTGGGTAAATAGGCAATGTAGGTATTAAATGAAAATCAGAAGTGAGTGAAGATTCTGATGTAGGTAAGATTGGATAGCTATCAAGATGTTTTTGTGTTTGGGGTAAATATTTGGAATCAAAAGGAAAATAAGATTTATGGAAAGTGACATTACGAGATAGAAAGGTTTCCCTAGATGAGAGGTCAAATAAAAGGTAGCATTTGACTCCATCACAGTAGCCTAAGAATACTGCTTTCCTAGCTCTTGGGGAAAATTTTGTACGGTTTGATGTGAGGGTTGTAGCATAAGACAAACAGCCAAAAATACAGAGGTGTAATAAGGTTGGAGGACAACTATACAATAGCTCATAAAGTGTCTTATTACCAAGTGAATCACCATTATTGTTGGGTTTCTGATCACATACAGTTCGCCACATTGCTCAGCAGAACGAATCGTCTTCAGGTAATTGGAGACTTTCTGTTGAATAAGATAATAAGATTTGTCAAACATAATGAGGTATGGATTGGATTTTAAGAGTTTTGAAACATAAATGAGGTTAATACGAAATTATAGGACATATAACACATCTGTGAGAACAAGATGGGGAGTGATATGTACAACTCTAGATATTGAAGTCACAACACTGGAACCATTAAGCAAAGTTATTGAAGTTGATTTAATTTGATGAAAAGAAGAAAATTAAGAAACAACAAAGGAGATGTGATCTGTTGCACCTGTATCGATGATCCAATCAACATCATTGATACCTGGTTGTGTGATTTGTGTATTAGTTGTAACGGAATTAGAAGCAAGAATTGCATTGGCAGTGTGCACTGGAGACCTTGCATCAGTGTTATTCGATTTCTGCAGCAGGTTGAAGATCTGTTGATACTGATCTTGAATTACACTTACATCTTGAAATGATTGATTTTGAGGAGCTGATTCTTGCTGCATAGAAACATTATTTGCTACACTCCTTTTATATCCAGGCGGGAAACCATGGAGTTGGTAACAAGTTTCAATCGTATGATTTTGCAATGAATACACAATCTATCTGTACTTTTACCAGCGTAACTACATCCTCCTCTTCCTTTAAATGAGCATCCTCCACGTGTATTTTCATATCCATTCCTTCGATCATTCAGTACTGCCAAAGCTTGCACATTACTCATTAAGGCCTTTGAGAAATCGAATTGTGTGATCTTGCTCACGATAGGTTCTCATCTGAACTATCGCACCACATTCACAAGGAACAGTAGGGGAAGGAAGTGGTATCAGATTGTCTAACTCATCACAGAGGGTCTTGAGTTGTGTGAAGTACTCTGAAACTGACTTGTCACCTTGATGTAGCTTAGAGTTGTAGATCTGAAATGCGGAACATATCTGACTGAGAGAACCTATCACGTAGATCTCTCCATGCATCTGCAACATTATCAATCCACAGTATGGATTGAGCAATGGTTTGAGAAATTGATCGGTGTATCCAGCTTAACACCATTGTATTACATCGTTCCCATGCTTGATAAGTAGGATCATCTTCATCTGGAGCAACTACATTACCATTAATGAAGCTTATTTTGTTCTTTGACAGTAATGCCATTGACATGCCTCGAGACCACGAATGGTAGTTACGACCATTCAAGATTGGAGAAACAAGCACCTACGAATAATTTTCACTTGGATGAAGAAAAAGAGGATGTGAAGGATTGGTGAGGAAAGGAGGTAGTTGTTCTTGATTCGCCATTGGAAGCAAAGATCAAAGTGAAAGAAAAGAGAAGATGCGGATATCAAAGCTATTTCAGCTTTGATACCATATTGGAGCTCAAGATAACCATGAAGAAAACGAGAGAAAAATACCTCATTCTATTACTGAGAAATGATTATTACAAGTTATGAGCAGATAACAAAGGAAACCTAAAATATATGGGTTTTATAAGAGTTATGTTGTAGGAAAAATGATTGTGTTATGTTATAGAGATTCGTTTTGCGTGCCATAGTTTTTTTTCTTCAAAACATGCGAGTCCCACAAAATATTGTGTGTGTAGGAAACTTTTTGTGGTCATGTTAAATGATAGAATGCAAACCCAAAATATATACATGTATCTAAAGCTCAGTGATCAAAACTGATCTAAATAAAAGCCTATCAGAGTAACCAACTTATCTAATAAATTAACTGCAATAACTTTCTTACGTTAATCTGTTGTATTGGTTGGTTGAATGAAGCTTTTATCTGACGTGGCTGAGATTGAATACAACATAATTGAGGCTTATTATTGTCTTATGAGATATGGATTGGGCCAGACTCAGTATTTGAACTTGAGACTAGGCCTGGAATTGGATCAAGCTATGTTAGTTATGTCATTTAAAATGACAAATAGTTTTCTCTTTATTTTAGTCCCTCATTTTATTTTTAATATTTATTAAATATATTTAAATTATTCTTTCAAATAATGTAAACACGATTCCATCGCCCACACTTTGAATTTTCAACATTTTCTCTTTTTATGTATGAGTCCCAATATAAGTATGAAAATATTACATTAGTTAATCATATACATTAAAAAAAAAACTCATATATATACTTTAACACAATTTATCAAATTTCCCTTATTTTGGACTGGGTGTTAAGTAAGATGTGTTAATTCTTCCGGTAGGAATTAGTTCACATTTACAATTGCACTTTTCGGCACAAAAAGTAACTCACTTTAATGCATAAGTTAGTGAATTTACCAAATCCTCTTCTTTTTTGTCTCTAATCAGGTATTTGAAAGTAAAAGACTAAGGGGGCGTTTAGTTGAAGGGTTTTTGAGATTTTCCTAAGTAAATGAAGTTTGATTTTTAGAAAACCAATGTTTGGTTCAACAGGGTTTTGACCAAAATTCATCTATGTGAAATGCCTGGCTTTTTGAGAAAGATAGTAATTTACACTGTTTAGAAACCCGATTTGAGGGTGGTTTTTTGAAAAAATCCGGGTAAAGCACTGTTGACACACTTTTTGTCATATATTTCTCTGGTAAAATTTTGTCAAACCAAACTACTTTTTTTTAACTTTCTCATCTATTCAACTTTCCCTATAGATACCTAGTAATTACATTTCTCTAGTATTCTTAAAATTTATCTTCAACCAAACGCCCCCTAAATGGATAATATGTTGTCCTTGCATATATCATGGACAGCCTTATCAGCTATTCCATACTTGTTATTGATATCATTGATTCCCGGAGCACTTGTTTATCATCTTATTGCACTTCACCCCGGTTGTCAACACATTTGAGCACTAACACGAATACACTAAGGGGGGTTTGTTTGAAGTTTTTGAAGAGGATTACCGGTAATCCTTCTTTGGTAAATGTAATTACCACGTTTGGTAGAAGGAATAAATTACGATTCTCGGATATCCAAGGATTACCAGTAATTTGATTTATAAAGAAAAGTCACTATTCAGTTTACCAAAATTAATATAGTAATTCGGAATACCAATCAGAATAACAAGTAAAGGGAAAGCACAACAATAAATTTTGAGACAAAAATACCCCAATACACATAAAAATCTAGACCCAATCTATCAATTACAAAAGTAAAAATAGTTTGGGGTTATTTTTGTAAAATAACCTCATATTCCAAGTCATATTTCGTTCTAAACCAAATATGGAATCGGTAATTTTTAATAATTTTTAATAATTTTTACCCAATATTCAATATTCCCGGTAATATTTTGGTGAACCAAACACCTCTTTCGTAAGATTTCAAATAAACTCAATTTCTACTGTATTTTCATTAATCATAATTTCCGGTCACTAAAAAGTTTTTCTTGTACCAAACACATCCTGAGTGGATTGATCTTGCCATCATGTTTGGAATGATCGTTTACTATCGAGTTTTGTTTTTTGTGTATTGTTGTGATGTTATTTTATTTGGCATCTTTTGATGTAATTTGGATAAAGAAAAAGTAACAAAAAGTGGAACCAGACAAAAGGGCATCTCAACCACTTTAACAAGTTGTTATTCAAAGACTGGATCAGAGAAATTAAAGAGGCATGGGTGGTCAAGGTTGGATCAGAGAAATTAAAATCTTATAAAAGAGGAGGAAGCCACATCATATGAGACTTTTGTCATTTCTTCACTATTTCACGTGTCTGGGTTGCTGTGTAGTTATTAGGATTTTACTTTCTCCTCTTTCCATCTTTTCTGCTCTTGTACTTTTTTTTGAATATGGATTTGTAATTGAAGACACTATTTGCAAATTTGTACTGTTATTCTTTAAATCTCGGAGAAGATAATATGTTCTGAAGCTGATGATTTTGCAATTTCTAGTATTAGTTGTTTCATTTAGTTAATCAGATCTGTATATCGAAGCTTATGCACTGTTAAGCTTGTTTATATAAAGGGGCGTTTAATACAAGAAATTTTTTTGGATTATCAAAAAATTGATATTGATCATAATCTTATTTATCCATACAAAGATTGTAAAATTTTTACTGAGAATCTGATTTTCTGAGAATTGTAATTTCTAAACATTTTTTAAGCCAAAATATCATTCAAGAATATCATGCAGAGGTATTATTTTTTGATTCCCAGTATTGTTTAACTCCGCACTATTGGCGCGGTGATACCGCCACTAACACCAAGTCCATATTGATGTATTCTTCTTCCCACGCTTCTATGGCGGTGGTGGAGAGGCTAGCACCAAATCTATTTTGTTGCTTTCTTCTTCCCACACTAGTGGCACGGTGATAGTGCCACTAGTGCCCGTAGTGCAGTTGGGGCAATTCACTTTCTCAGCATTCCTAGTAATATTTTGTCCTATTAAATATTATTTTTTTTTTTTTCATATTTTCGAAAAATTTATTTTCTCAACATATTTCTGATAATTTGATTCCCAGACATAAAAAAAATTTCTTCTACCAAACATCGTGTAATGAAAAATTTGGGTTTTTTCTCCTCCCTTACCTTTCTCATGTATTTCGAATTAGCCATGAGCTAAATCTATTTTCGGACCAAGACGTGATAGAACTCTGATTGCTTTAATGTTATGGAGTGAATTGGATCTATATGCAGCTCATTTAATTTATTCATTGTGCATTGCATGTTAATGCTAGTTAACATCTGGCCATTGTTAATTAGTTAATTAGGATTGATAATTGGAACGTTGTCTAATCTAGAAAACTTAATGGACAATGGGATTAAGGCTAGGAATACTTTTAAACTCATAACTTGAGAACCTCTGTTCTGTAAGGCTGCTCGAATTGAGAAGATATAGGAATATGGAACATTGAGT